TTGAGGAATACTAATACCGTTGAGAATGAAGAAATAAGAAGACGCAATCTTATGAGCGATTTCGTGCCTCACCACTAAACATGAAGAAGAATGCTAACTACCGTGTATTTTTAGTTTCAAATTTTTAGTGGCGCCACCTAGCGTGTTAAGAATGCACTAGACATGGCGGAAAATTTGAATATACCATATTTTATTTTTTATAATATAAGTTGTTTGAAATGTACATACAAAACAATCAGAAACAAACAGATTTTCAGAAATCGGTATAAAAACTTATTTTCTTACATCTAATTGTCGCTGACTGGTTCGCACCTACTCTAGGAACAAAGAAAATAATCAATAAAGTATTATATGAAAAGAAGTTCAAATATTGTAGTGTCAAATAGTTCCATCACACATTTAACAATACAGGTAAAAATCAATTCAAACTATAATATAGGTATTAATAAAATTAATATAAATAACCCCCTTTGAAATATTTTCTTCGAAAAAACTTCCTCGAAATAGTTTTATAAGTACATTATTTTTCAAAAAACTTAAGAGAAAGGTAACTTAAATATTCATAAAAATAGAAGTTTTTACAAAAATTATTGTAACACAAAATTGGGCAAATCTTGTAATAAAGTACGTAGGTACTTGAAACACTTTAATTTTAAATAAACAATGTTTTCAAAAATTAATACCTCGGTTTATAAAGATAGTGTTTTTATTAGAAACTACTTCCTTATCTGTCGCGATAAAAATAAATCTGAAATCACAAATCCAGTGGAAAAATACATTAATTACAACAATGAAGATCGAAAGTTCCGAAATAATAATAAACAGCTGATGGTGATGATTTACCGGTATCAATTTTGGAAAAGTGTGGTTTAGATCAGTAGAAAAAGAAACAAAATATTTCCCTTTCTGTCAGTTTTTAGGCAACTATAAAAACTTATACGCCATCTAGCGTGCTAACAAGTTACTATATCCTATTAACATATTGTTCAAGGTCGTATATCTCAGTTGGCTAGCGCGGTGGCACACAAATAAATATTTAAAGATGTCAGAGATATAGCTGGCGTTATCGTCAGGGTGTCTGAGATTTACAGTTTCCGGCGAAAGTGTTGTAGGTTTAATGATTTTGGGTACAGTACGTTAATAACATGGTTTTTATGTCATTAAACAATTTAATAAAATATTATATGATTTGAATCCTATGAAGATCGCTGTTATTTCTTATGTAAAATATTATGGTAAATAATCATCATTTCCAAAACAACGAAACGACTTTTTTCGATAATACGAGATATTTAGTACCTATGAGATTTATATTGAGACTCATCGATTTGATAGTTGTTCTCTATGTTTTTATTTACTTTTCAATTGACACACAATTATTCTCTTGATATTTCAAAATCTATCTGTGTTTTAGTGTGATATTTTTCCACAATTTTCGGTTGGATTTCTATTTTAAAATGTCTAGTATGTCACTGATTTGCAGTGGATATAAATTATTGCAAATTATCCAATGCCTAATTTTCCTAAAAAATATTTTCCTGCATCATTTTTTTCCGCGATATTTTTTTGATAAATAACATAGGTCTACAATGACTTTGGTGCCGCCAAAACTAAAACTGATTTTAAGTCACTCAAAAATATATTTATTAACTTTTACTGATTTATTTAGAAAACTATTTTACATTTTATTTAGGTTTAATATAAGTTGTTCATATACAAAATATTACAATCTTAGATAACCAAAAAATAACCGAGAGTAGATAAGCAACCTATGTTCGGCAGCAAAATCCCATGCTTTTTCTTATGAAGGTCCATTCTGTCGTTTTTTGACCAATTCAAGGTCACAGCAGTTTGGAGCATCTCGGACTCATATTGCGCAGTCACTTCCGGTCCAGACACCGAATTCCAGGAATTCTGGCGCCAGACGTATGACGCCACCAACCGTGACGCATGAGTCATCACCTCTGAACCTTAATAAGTCAATTTATACGCATGACGTCATCCGCCTAACGTCATACAGTTTAATTTATTTTTAATAAAAAAGTTCGGTGTAGGGTTTGAACCACGGACCTGTCGATCGCCAAGCTAACGCCTTAATCAACATGACCACAAACGCATTTAAAATTAATTGTAGGTATGCCTATATGAGGGCCCCAATTTAAAGTTGTCTCAAAGGTATAGATCACGTAATGAACGACGTTCGTACACAAGTCAAATACCATATACGAGCGCTATTCACCAAATGCCATATACCTGGTGGGGGCCCCCCAAATTTATTATTATTAGCACCATTGATTTATCAAAAATAAAATAATAGCGTAGATTAAAAATATTATTTACTTACCACAATAGCTATTCCGTCACATCAGCTTTGTTTAGGAGGAGGATACGGCGGCTGTAGCGGCGGCGGCAGCGGCGCACGGTAAGTACCTATGAATATTAACAATAAGAACTAATAAGCGCAAAGTAATTAGATGCAATTCAAAGGAAAAAGTTTAGGTAAACAAAGTTGACTTTCGGCAAACATCGGTTGTTATCGTAAGCGCGCTGGGGTGTGGCACTGTCGCTTTGTCGCGCGCGCAAGCCCCACTAATTAATAGTTTATAGGATAGTTTAGCAAAAATGGTAATAAAATATATACGTATAGCTCAATGATTTATTATAAAAAACATAACGATTAATTAATTTAGAGTATTGGGAATCAAAACAAAGATTAAAATGTCAAACGTCAACTATGTCATAAGTGGTACGCCAAAACCGAACATCGCGCAAGCTCCAAAGTAAACAGAAAAAAATTAAAAATATGTACATATTATAATGCAAAACATAACGATTGTGAGGGGTATTGAAATTAATTTAAGAGCATTAAACCAAAAGACATTTCTTTACTAAAAGATTAAAAGTATTAAGTCAAACGTCAAATGTCAACTAGGTGTAGCGCGCAAGCTCCGAAATAAACAGAAAAATTTTTAAAATATACAAGGACAATAGCCCATCGTTTAACTTCGGTAAACATTGTCAAAAATCGACGCTAGGTGTGGCTCTCGGCGCAAGCTCCAACAGAAAAATTTTAAAAATATATATACAAGGACAATAGCCCATCGTTTAACTTCGGTAAACATCGTTATCAAACACGTCAAAATCAGCACGCCAAAAAAAAACTAGGTGTGGCGGCGGCAGAAATAATCAGAAAAATTACAGCAGAGTATACCCGCAAAAACCCTTTGTAATGTAAAAAACTTTAATATTTATCGAAACGAAAATAAATTTAAGAGTATTAAATCAAAAAACAAAGCGTATTACTAAAATACGTACTTACGGTTTATATGTATTATTATTATCCATTCACTCAACACATACACTTACACCCTTTTTCTTCTTCAATAGTCCTTTTCACTAAACGCACTGAAAATACACAATAAATTTCTTGATGCAGTACCGTTAAAAGTTAGAAACAAACTGATGATTTTGTAGCTAAAAATATAATGTGAAGGCCGAATGATAAACAGGAAACAACACCATAACACCAGTTCTTGGAATATACGTGGTGTGTAGAATAAGGTTAATATACGGGGTGTGTAGAATAAGGTTAATATACGAGGTGTGTAGCTAATTTAGTTGATTGCTTTTATAATAATTTTACTACAAAAACAATCTTAAGCCCCAACGCCGCGTCAAGGCATAGCTACATTGTTGGGGACACATTCACACACCCATTCACTCCAAACAAATTACTAGGGAGTAGGCAGTGTTATGAGCACAGATCTAAAAGTAATCCAGACGGCTCTTTAATTCGCCAATTATTTTTTATTTTTTATTTTTTATTTTTTTATTTTTTATTTTTTTTGTTATTTTTTTGTTATTTTTTATTTATTTGTTATTACCATTTATTTTTTTCATATTTTTTTTTTATATTTTTTAACTAATAATAATTTGTTTTTTATTATACACATGCACACGAACTCATTCATACATACAAACATACATATATAATAAACTAAGTATCCATTATGGAGCAATGTCCATGCGGTAAAGTCTGAACAGAGCCCTTAATTAGATGTCTCTTATCGTCATGGGGACTTAACCCAATTTTCGACTGCTTTATGGTATAAATATTATGCTTACTATATCGTATTAACGTTTGCAAAATTATTTTTTCATTACAACTCTTCAAACAGTCAACGTAATCATCAAATGTAATACAATTTTTAATAACAGATTTTAACCCCTTAATCTTTTTGTTAAACCAATGTTTTTCAGATAATTTGCAATTTCTTGTCGTTCTTCCCCCTTTTTTTCAAATGCGATTTCTTTCTGTTCTAGCTCCATAGGTGTATAATATAATTTTGTTGCATACATTTTAGATCGAAGGCCAACAAAATGAGTCATAATACGTCCGCTATTTTCATCCTTCATCATACCGAGAATTTTTTTATTTACTAGAGGAATACTATAAATATTATCTGGAGAGTAGTCGCTGGTGTCAAAGTACAGCGAACAATCTCGTTTTATTACATCATAGACGTCTTGATTTTTAATTTCATAAATCAGCGAATCGGTATCAGTATACAGAACGGTACAATCGGAAAAAGTTTTTTTCATATAATTATAATGGAAATCGTAAATTGTGGTTTTCGCTAAATCCAAAATACACATTCCCACATAAATTGGTTTATTAAAATATATTTCAGATTTAGATAATTCAATTATTATAAGGTTTTCATTAATTATGGTGCTGCTTTTAAATTCAGGTCTTGAAATTAACGATTCTGCCCCGTATCGACCTTCCCACATTGTTATAAGTTTAACAGAAGAATGCTTACGGATATTTTCCATGGTTTTACCGAAAACCGCGTTGTTCATCAATTTAAACAAATTCTTTTCAAAATCATTTTTTGAAGCTTGCCTGAGCCGTGTGTTTAAATCAATATACGATTTTAACCAGGGAGACTGATTAAATTCTAAAACACGATGAATTTTTCTTACTCTAACGCCTAAAGCTAAAGCTTGTTGTAAATTTTTATAGTGAACACATATTCTTTTTTATCATATAACGTGGCTAATAATTTAGAATTTTTAGACCCTTTAGGTATATCATGTTCAGGACAAGGGGGTAGATCAGAAAAGAAATCATGCACCTCGGATGGAATATACAGGTCGACTTCTAATATATATCCCTTATTTGACTCATTGCTAATATTCTGAATATTTAAATTTGAAATTTCATTTTCGTTAAGCCATTTAAAACCGCCATATGGAAGGTATTGTGACATGGCCCACCCGTATTGATTATTAATATCGAAATACATAAGATAGGTTTCGTCTTTAGAGGAGTCGTACGATGGAATGTACTTATTGTTCGCTTCAGCGTACCTTTTCGAGCATTGACTCAGACCGCCCCGAATTCCCTTTTCAATGAAGAGTACCATATCCAAATCTGTAAGGAGTTCAAGTTTTTTAATATCAGATTTCCTCATTTGAAATAACATACATTGCCAAGCGTATCCGGGAAGAGTATAAGTGTGAGCTGGATCCAAACAATAAGTTTTATGGGACGTAGTTCTAAACTGCTCAAAGATATCAGCCAGTAAAAGAATATCTACTTTCATATACAGTTCTGAATAATCACGCATATTTTGACAATTAAAAATATTCCAAACTGTTTTAGCATGCGCATAATCTTTATCATTGATATATGAATCATTTAATTTATTGTAAAAGGCGGGTTTAGGAGGTAGTTGAGTTTCATTCAGTTTATTCCAATCATCCATGAAATCATATGGGAAAATACCTTTTCGAGTAAGCAAATTGAAATGTTCTTCGTTTAAGTGTGGAAATTCCGACTTTAGAATTGGATATTCCGATAGATTAGAAGCTAAAGTATCCAGGCTTGATGCCATGAATCTAAAACTATCTAGAAACCTAAATTGAACAAAATTTCCGGGCACATGTTTAGTTACTGATATATATTTTTCTTTATTGACGGGCAATACATCAATAGATCCTTCTACTTCTGCCAGGGCCTTAATCAGCAGATGTCCGTCGTACGAACTAAAGTTGTGAAATAAAACGGGGACTATATGTTTATCTTGAAAATTTAAATTGCATTTTTCATGGGCCGCACCTCGATATCTCCCCGTTAGATGGCAGTGATCTCTAACTTTTTTATCATCGGTATTAAAAGGAGATTCACATATATGACATAATTTAGAATTTAAAAAAGCTCGCGTTTGTTGTTGTGTTAAGGGATCCATAGGCAAATCGCAAAGGAAAACCGTTTCCACATTTTCGGCGAAATCAAACAGTTCTTTAACAAACCATTCAATACAGTCCGGTCCTGTGTACGATTTATAAAACGAGAGCGAATCATCGTAATCACATTTAACATAGTATCCTACGCTAAACGGTATATGTGATTGATATTTTTGAGTGTTTTTAATTTTGTTATCTTCGGTGGGTATTAAAAGGCATTCAGAGTCGGCATAAATTGTGAAAGGAACTTTAGTTTTAAATGAAAAATCTTTAAATTCAATCCACTTTTTATCGTTTTGTGGAAGTTTTGGAAGAGGGCCACTATTATGGTTTATACAGTCTTTTAAATGTAAATTTAATTTGTCTTCATCATAGAAATAGTGAAGACACCTGTCACATATAATTTTTTTTCTACAGTCCTTGTTTATCTGGCTTGAAACTAAACGCGATAAATTTTTGATCCATACATAATGAAATTTAACAGGAGTAAATATTTGCTCCTCGTTATCTGAACTGAAATAATTGTCTTGTATCATAAGGAGATTGATATGCCGTTCTAGTTTATTTTTAGTTAGATGAGTAGGAATAACGCTGAAAGATTTATTTAATTGTTCCAACCTGTATACATTAATCGATAAATTATTTTGTTTTTCAAATCGGGGAATTTGTTTAAGAGTCATAGGAAATTGAATGCCTTTTAAATTAAGTACTTTTTGAGGATCTGGGTAAGAAGAAGTTCTATCAGCAATTTTTGATGGTGCAGGATACAGATATGATAGTACGGCCCACGCAAAACACATATCATCGGAATTTTGGACATTTACACAAGCCTCTTTTCTTTTTATTTGTGTGGGAAGATCGATATAGGTACCTGCTCTTAAAGGATTATATTTATTTATATTTACTGTTAAATTTTTAATTTCAGATAACGCCCAACCGCTATCTTTTTCTTGAAATTCTTCCAATTCAACTAGCAAAGAATTTTGAATATGATTAACAAACCAATCATCTAAATTGTAATCTTTATAAATTATTCCGTTTTTAGTATTTAAATATTTTAATTCGGTCTTTACCTGATCTGCTTTATTGATAGTAAACTCTCCAGAAAACACACCATTAACCTTCAAGGCATCAACCTTTTTCAGCATATTCTGAATTCGTCTTTTGAACAAGGCCTTACAGTCATTCAAAAACAGTTTCGGATCCGTATGATGAAGGTTGATAATAACGCCCGTTCTAACGCGAGAATCGAAAGCAGAGTGCAAATCTTCCCATTCGACGCGAGAACAGGCAGTCGCTTTCTTTTTATTGAGACCCGCCCCTTTCTTTTGTTTTAATTGAAATTGTTGCCTTAGAGTTTTCACATTAATAAGAGCGGCTTGTAATTTTTGTTTTTCGGCAACCGTCGAAGCATTTTTTAATGCATAATTTATATGCCTAGTAGCCTTAGTACACTCGCGAAGTCCTTTCCGAAGTAGTTCATCGTTACCTTTCTCCCGAAAAATTCCGAGTAAGGCAGCGATATGCTTAATAAGGTCAACGACAAAAGACATCACACTAAAAAAGAGAGACACACTTTAAACACGTCTTAACTCTTCAAGAGCCAAATCAAAACTAGCACTTTTCAATCGCCAACGCTTTATTTATATGTTTTGTATGGTTTCCGTTTCCTCTAAAAATCTCCAATAAATATTTAAGTAAAATTAAACTTTGTGCATAGGTCTTATCTACATCCGCCGGATGTCGGGTGTAGATAATTATATCAGAAATTTTTGATGCGGTTTTGAAAGGAAATGATGATTCTGCCCACTAATGAATAGTTTGTGGAATGACAATTAGTCGCCTAACGGATGTTATTGTTAAAATTGAGAATATTCCAGGAAAACATGATATCATACCGGAAACTACAAAGTCCGATTAAAAATAATACCGACTGCAAACTCTGATAAGGAATAAATGTTGCACAATGTGTTTTTCACCGTCATACCGGAAACCGCAAAGACTGATTACTTCTTTTTTTATTCTACATGTATTACCACCAAGTTTGATTTATTTTATTTTACTTAAATATTTATCGCTAAAACCGAGCGGTGATTTCATCACGTATTGCTTTTACACCATATATTTTACAGTTTATTTTTTCACACCGTATATATTCAAAAAATATTTTTATGTAATTATTAATTTTTCCACACTATATTTTCTGTTAAATTACCCAATACCATCGTTGATAATTTTTTCAACGATATTTTGATGGACCATCGGGCTAATACAATTTCAAATGTGTGTTCCTGTAAGTCCAAAATTATTTCTATAGAAAAATAGATCGAACAAAACAATATATCATGAGTATATGAGTATAGAAGATAATTAGAATAAAATAGGGTAGATAATTTGAATAAATGTGTAATGTGAGGGGCCCATTTAAAGAAATTCAAACTAATGATATATGTAAAAGTCTAAAAAGATTACAATTATGTTACACGGTAATCAAGAGCTATATTATATGGGTAAACGTTTTTCTTTGTAGTAGCTATACCAAAAAAATATTGAGAAAATTTCAAACTAATTGGTTTACATTTTGAAAAATCTTTCTTAACGACAGCTATTAGGTTTGATCCGCTATAGATTCGATTAAAAATATGTGAAACATTCAAAGACCTAAGCTTTAGCCGATGTAGGGCTAACCGCTCTATCAGACCTGTTGACCCGATCGAGCTGGTCCAACAGGGTGGTTTCCAACAGACCCGATTGCGACAGACCCGATTGCGACAGATCAAAATGTAAACCAATTAGTTTGAAATTTTCTCAATATTTTTTTGGTATAGCTATTACAAAGAAAAACGTTTACCCATATAATATAGCTCTTGATTACCGTGTAACATAATTGTAATCTTTTTAGACTTTTACATATATCATTGGTTTGAATTTCTTTAAATGGGCCCCTCACATTACACATTTATTCAAATTATCTACCCTATTTTATTCTAATTATCTTCTATACTCATATACTCATAATATATTGTTTTTGTTCGATCTATTTTTCTATAGAAATAATTTTGGACTTACAGGAACACACATTTGAAATTGTATTAGCCTGATGGTCCATCAAAATATCGTTGAAAAAATTATTAACGATGGTATTGGGTAACTTAACAGAAAATATAGTGTAGAAAAATTAATAATTACATAAAAATATTTTTTGAATATATACGGTGTGAAAAAATAAACTGTAAAATATATGGTGTAAAAGTAATACGTGATGAAATCACCGCCCGGTTTTAGCGATAAATATTTAAGTAAAATAAAATAAATCAAACTTGGTGGTAATACATGTAGAATAAAAAAAGAAGTAATCAGTCTTTGCGGTTTCCGGTATGACGGTGAAAAACACATTGTGCAACATTTATTCCTTATCAGAGTTTGCAGTCGGTATTATTTTTAATCGGACTTTGTAGTTTCCGGTATGATATCATATTTTCTTGGAATATTCTCAATTTTAACAATAACATCCGTTAGGCGACTAATTGTCATCCCACAAACTATTCATTAGTGGGCAGAATCATCATTTCCTTTCAAAACCGCATCAAAAATTTCTGATATAATTATCTACATCCGGCATCCGGCGGATGTAGATAAGACCTATGCACAAAGTTTAATTTTGCTTAAATATTTATTGGAGATTTTTAGAGGAAACGGAAACCATACAAAACATATAAATAAAGCGTTGGCGATTGAAAAGTTTTAGTTTTGATTTGGCTCTTGAAGAGTTAAGACGTGTTTAAAGTGTGTCTCTCTTTTTTAGTGTGATGTCTTTTGTCGTTGACCTTATTAAGCATATCGCTGCCTTACTCGGAATTTTTCGGGAGAAAGGTAACGATGAACTTCTTCGGGAAGGACTTCATGAGTGTACTAAGGCTACTAGGCATATAAATTATGCATTAAAAAATGCTTCGAGTGTTGCCGAAAAGCAACAATTACAAGCGGCTCTCATTAATGTGAAAACTCTAAGGCAGCAATTTAAATTAAAACAAAAGAAAGGGGCGGGTCTCAATAAAAAGAAAGCGACTGCCTGTTCTCGCGTCAAATGGGAAGATTTGCACTCTGCTTTCGATTCTCGCGTTAGAACGGGCGTTATTATCAACCTTCACCATACGGATCCGAAACTGTTTTTGAATGACTGTAAGGCCTTGTTCAAAAGACGAATTCAGAATATGCTGAAAAAGGTTGATGCCTTGAAGGTCAATGGTGTGTTTTCTGGAGAGTTTACTATCAATAAAGCAGATCAGGTAAAGACCGAATTAAAATATTTAAATACTAAAAACGGAATAATTTATAAAGATTACAATTTAGATAATTGGTTTGTTAATCATATTCAAAATTCTTTGCTAGTTGAATTGGAAGAATTTCAAGAAAAAGATAGCGGTTGGGCGTTATCTGAAATTAAAAATTTAACAGTAAATATAAATAAATATAATCCTTTAAGAGCAGGTACCTTTATCGATCTTCCCACACAAATAAAAAGAAAAGAGGCTTGTGTAAATGTCCAAAATTCCGATGATATGTGTTTTGCGTGGGCCGTACTATCATATCTGTATCCTGTCTCTTCAGAAGTTGCAAAAAGAACTTCTTCTTATCCAGATCCTCAGAAAGTATTAAATTTAAAAGGCATTCAATTTCCTATGACTCTTAAACAAATTCCGCGATTTGAAAAACAAAATAATTTATCGATTAATGTATACAGGTTGGAACAATTAAATAAATCTTTCAACGTTATTCCTACTCATCTAACTAAAAATAAACTAGAACGGCATATCAATCTCCTTATGATACAAGACAATTATTTCAGTTCAGATAACGAGGAGCAAATATTTACTCCCGTTAAATTTCATTATGTATGGATCAAAAATTTATCGCGTTTAGTTTCAAGCCAGATAAACAAGAAACATGGAAAAAAAATTATATGTGACAGGTGTCTTCACTATTTCTATGATGAAGACAAATTAAATTTACATTTAAAAGACTGTATAAACCATAATAGTGGCCCTCTTCCAAAACTTCCACAAAACGATAAAAAGTGGATTGAATTAAAGATTTTTCATTTAAAACTAAAGTTCCTTTCACAATTTATGCCGACTCTGAATGCCTTTTAATACCCACCGAAGATAACAAAACTAAAAACACTCAAAAATATCAATCACATATACCGTTTAGCGTAGGATACTATGTTAAATGTGATTACGATGATTCGCTCTCGTTTTATAAATCGTACACAGGACCGGACTGTATTGAATGGTTTGTTAAAGAACTGTTTGATTTCGCCGAAAATGTGGAAACGGTTTTCCTTTGTGATCTACCAATGGATATGCTTACTCCTGAACAAACGCGAGCTTTTTTAAATTCTAAATTATGTCATATATGTGAATCTCCTTTTAATACCGATGATAAAAAAGTTAGAGATCACTGCCATCTAACGGGGAGATATCGAGGTGCGGCCCATGAAAAATGCAATTTAAATTTTCAAGATAAACATATAGTCCCCGTTTTATTTCACAACTTTAGTTCGTACGACGGACATCTGCTGATTAAGGCCCTGGCAGAAGTAGAAGGATCTATTGATGTATTGCCCGTCAATAAAGAAAAATATATATCAGTAACTAAACATGTGCCCGGAAATTTTGTTCAATTTAGGTTTCTAGATAGTTTTAGATTCATGGCATCAAGCCTGGATACTTTAGCTTCTAATCTATCGGAATATCCAATTCTAAAGTCGGAATTTCCACACTTAAACGAAGAACATTTCAATTTGCTTACTCGAAAAGGTATTTTCCCATATGATTTCATGGATGATTGGAATAAACTGAATGAAACTCAACTACCTCCTAAACCCGCCTTTTACAATAAATTAAATGATTCATATATCAATGATAAAGATTATGCGCATGCTAAAACAGTTTGGAATATTTTTAATTGTCAAAATATGCGTGATTATTCAGAACTGTATATGAAAGTAGATATTCTTTTACTGGCTGATATCTTTGAGCAGTTTAGAACTACGTCCCATAAAACTTATTGTTTGGATCCAGCTCACACTTATACTCTTCCCGGATACGCTTGGCAATGTATGTTATTTCAAATGAGGAAATCTGATATTAAAAAACTTGAACTCCTTACAGATTTGGATATGGTACTCTTCATTGAAAAGGGAATTCGGGGCGGTCTGAGTCAATGCTCGAAAAGGTACGCTGAAGCGAACAATAAGTACATTCCATCGTACGACTCCTCTAAAGACGAAACCTATCTTATGTATTTCGATATTAATAATCAATACGGGTGGGCCATGTCACAATACCTTCCATATGGCGGTTTTAAATGGCTTAACGAAAATGAAATTTCAAATTTAAATATTCAGAATATTAGCAATGAGTCAAATAAGGGATATATATTAGAAGTCGACCTGTATATTCCATCCGAGGTGCATGATTTCTTTTCTGATCTACCCCCTTGTCCTGAACATGATATACCTAAAGGGTCTAAAAATTCTAAATTATTAGCCACGTTATATGATAAAAAAGAATATGTTGTTCACTATAAAAATTTACAACAAGCTTTAGCTTTAGGCGTTAGAGTAAGAAAAATTCATCGTGTTTTAGAATTTAATCAGTCTCCCTGGTTAAAATCGTATATTGATTTAAACACACGGCTCAGGCAAGCTTCAAAAAATGATTTTGAAAAGAATTTGTTTAAATTGATGAACAACGCGGTTTTCGGTAAAACCATGGAAAATATCCGTAAGCATTCTTCTGTTAAACTTATAACAATGTGGGAAGGTCGATACGGGGCAGAATCGTTAATTTCAAGACCTGAATTTAAAAGCAGCACCATAATTAATGAAAACCTTATAATAATTGAATTATCTAAATCTGAAATATATTTTAATAAACCAATTTATGTGGGAATGTGTATTTTGGATTTAGCGAAAACCACAATTTACGATTTCCATTATAATTATATGAAAAAAACTTTTTCCGATTGTACCGTTCTGTATACTGATACCGATTCGCTGATTTATGAAATTAAAAATCAAGACGTCTATGATGTAATAAAACGAGATTGTTCGCTGTACTTTGACACCAGCGACTACTCTCCAGATAATATTTATAGTATTCCTCTAGTAAATAAAAAAATTCTCGGTATGATGAAGGATGAAAATAGCGGACGTATTATGACTCATTTTGTTGGCCTTCGATCTAAAATGTATGCAACAAAATTATATTATACACCTATGGAGCTAGAACAGAAAGAAATCGCATTTGAAAAAAAGGGGGAAGAACGACAAGAAATTGAAAATTATCTGAAAAACATTGGTTTAACAAAAAAGATTAAGGGGGTTAAAAAATCTGTTATTAAAAATTGTATTACATTTGATGATTACGTTGACTGTTTGAAGAGTTGTAATGAAAAAAAATTTTGCAAACGTTAATACGATCTAGTAAGCATAATATTTATACCATAAAGCAGTCGAAAATTGGGTTAAGTCCCCATGACGATAAGAGACATCTAATTAAGGGCTCTGTTCAGACTTTACCGCATGGACATTGCTCCATAATGGATACTTAGTTTATTATATATGTATGTTTGTATGTATGAATGAGTTCGTGTGCATGTGTATAATAAAAAACAAATTATTATTAGTTAAAAAATATAAAAAAAAATATGAAAAAAATAAATGGTATAAATAACAAATAAATAAAAAAATAAAAAAAAAAAAAAAAAAAAAAAAAAAAAAATAAAAAAATAAAAAAATAAAAAAATAAAAAAATTATTGGCGAATTAAAGAGCCGTCTGGATTAATTTTTAGATCTGTGCTCGTGCCGCTACTGCCTACTCTAGTAATTTGTTTGGAGTGAATGGGTGTGTGAATGTGTCCCCAACAATGTAGCTATGCCTTTGACGCGGCGTTGGGGCTTAAGATTGTTTTTGTAGTAAATTATTGGTTATAAAAGCAATCAACTAAATTAGCTACACACCTCGTATATTAACCTTATTCTACACACCGTATATTAACCTTATTCTACACACCTCGTATATTCCAAGAACTGGTGTTATGGTGTTGTTTCCTGTTTATCATTCGGCCTTCACATTATATTTTTAGCTACAAAATCATCAGTTTGTTTCTAACTTTTAACGGTACTGCATCAAGAAATTTATTGTGTATTTTCAGTGCGTTTAGTGAAAAGGACTATTGAAGAAGAAAAAGGGTGTAAGTGTATGTGTTGAGTGAATGGATAATAATAATACATATAAACCTCGTAAGTACGTATTTTTAGTAATACGCTTTGTTTTTTGATTTAATACTCTTAAATTTATTTTCGTTTCGATAAATATTAAAGTTTTTTACATTACAAAGGGTTTTTGCGGGTATACTCTTGCTGTAATTTTTCTGATTATTTCTGCCGCCGCCACACCTAGTTTTTTTTTTGGCGTGCTGATTTTGACGTTTGATAACGATGTTTACCGAAGTTAAACGATGGGCTATTGTCCTTGTATATATATTTTTAAAATTTTTCTGTTGGAGCTTGCGCCGAGAGCCACACCTAGCGTCGATTTTGACAATGTTTACCGAAGTTAAACGATGGGCTATTGTCCTTGTATATTTTAAAAATTTTTCTGTTTATTTCGGAGCTTGCGCGCCACACCTAGTTGACATTTGACGTTTGACTTAATACTTTTAATCTTTTAGTAAAGAAATGTCTTTTGGTTTAATGCTCTTAAATTAATTTCAATACCCCTCACAATCGTTATGTTTTGCATTATAATATGTACATATTTTTAATTTTTTTCTGTTTACTTTGGAGCTTGCGCGATGTTCGGTTTTGGCGTACCACTTATGACATAGTTGACGTTTGACATTTAATCTTTGTTTTGATTCCCAATACTCTTAAATTAATTAATCGTTATGTTTTTATAATAAATCATTGAGCTATACGTATATATTTTATTACCATTTTTGCTAAACTATCCTATAAACTATTAATTAGTGGGGCTTGCGCGCGCGCGACAAAGGACAGTGCCACACCCCAGCGCGCTTACGATAACAACCGATGTTTGCCGAAGTCAACTTTGTTTACCTAAACTTTTTCCTTTTGAATTGCATCTAATTACTTTGCGCTTATTAGTTCTTATTGTTAATATCTATAGGTACTTACCGTGCGCCGCCGCCGCCGCTACAGCCGCCGTATCCTCCTCCTCCTAAACAAAGCTGATGTAGACGGAATAGCTATTGTGGTAAGTAAATAATATTTTTAATCTACGCTATTATTTTATTTTTGATAAATCAATGGTGCTAATAATAATAAATTTGGGGGGCCCCCACCAGGTATATGGCATTTGGTGAATAGCGCTCGTATATGGTATTTGACTTGTGTACGAACGTCGTTCATTACGTGATCTATACCTTTGAGACAACTTTAAATTGGGGCCCTCATATAGGCATACCTACAATTAATTTTAAATGCGTTTGTGGTTATGTTGATTAAGGCGTTAGCTTGGCGATCGACAGGTCCGTGGTTCAATCCCTACACCGAACTTTTTTATTAAAAATAAATTAAACTGTATGACGTTAGGCGGATGACGTCATGCGTATAAATTGACTTATTAAGGTTCAGAGGTGATGACTCATGCGTCACGGTTGGTGGCGTCATACGTCTGGCGCCAGAATTCCTGGAATTTGGTGTCTGGACCGGAAGTGACTGCGCAATATGAGTCCGAGATGCTCCAAACTGCTGTGACCTTGAATTGGTCAAAAAACGACAGAATGGACCTTCATAAGAAAAAGCATGGGATTTTGCTGCCGAATTCCCCTTGCCTATCTACTACCGAGTAATTAGGAAATAACTAAAAAAACTGTTTTTCTCAAAAGCATGTTTTGTGGCTTGCTACTGAAGTACAAATATTAAAGAATTAATATTATATCAAAATATTATTTTATTTTATGTCAATATAAAACAAAATTAATTATAAAATATCGTCTGGAGGTAGATTTTCCAATCTCCACTGGAAAAAAGGACAAAAATCTCTAATCATATTAAACATTTTTACAGAAATCGTAGTCATGTCAAGACAAATTATGCAAAATTTCCAAATTAAATTTTATTCTTTTTGCTCATCAGAAATCAAATCAGTTGTTTTCAAAAATTTTAAATTTATCGAATCCCGCAGCGCCTTATTTGATTTGAGAGAGATAATTTGATTATTTAAATTCGCGCCAATGTTGAATCATAATGATGTGCGTGTTGAGTTACCGTCGCAAACCTCTATTTTTTATTTAACATTCCGTACTTTTTTAAGAACTTTTTGAACAGCGCTGAGTTACAGACGTAGAAATTGCTAAGCGATGTGGATTCTAATTGCGAAAAAAAAATCACTTACTACTTATATTTACCAGATTTATTTTACACCGAAAAAAATAATTTTTTATATCTTTTATTTTTAATTTTAATATACTCGCTTGTTATTAGTACAGGAAAATTATTTATCAGAGTGCTTTTGATATTTTTTGAAATAATCAAATATAAGATATAGTTGTGCATAAAAAGTGATTGATCTTCTGAAAAATGAAAAAAGAAAATTTGAATTTTTGTCAGCATAACAAATACAATCGTAAAATCGACACCCTAAGCAAAGAGTTCAAATTTTTGTTTTTGGATATACTCCCTTTTCTTACTTTGGTTATGGTTTTCTGTTTCTATGTTTTGTCTGAAATTATTATTATTATTATGGAATACCTTTTAAAAATCTGTCAATATAACAAATTTACCAGCTAACTGTATGTCATTATATTCCATACAATCTATTTTTTGCTGAAAAAATACTTAAACTCTCTGGCGAGTTTATGGGCCCAATTACAAATTATTTTTGGACACTAAACTCCATTGAGAAGATGAATAAAGCATTAATTAAAAAGTTCTAAAGGTTGAGTTTTAAATAAGCGCAAATATTTTTAGGGGTAGATTTTCTTAATATTGGAATTATGTTTTTAGTTAAAAAAACAAAATTTTTTGACAATATATTAACATAGATAGTAACAGTAAAAATATTAAAATTTAAAATACCGATTTAAAAAAAAATCGGCATTAGATATTTCTACTATTTTATCAAATAGTTTCGTATTTACCGATATTTGATAGGAACCGATCCTTACCATAGTTTACTAACTGGTTTAACAACATCTAGTTATAGAGGGTGACTCTCAAATATGTACAAATATTCTCACGTAGATGTCGATAAAAGAAACTTTACGTTTTCTCTGTACCATTTTTCAAATAAAGGCAAAATATTCGATTTATTTTACTTTAAAAATTAAAAAATAAATATTTTTTGCTTAAATTTTGAAAACTGATTTTTTTCTGGGGTTTCTGTCTTTTAAATTTAATGTGTTATAAGATAATATTTTTTTTACTAAAAATTCAATAAAAGCAAATAATATTTATTGGAAAAATACAAAATGTTCAAAGAAAAACATTGTGAAATAAAATTGTTTCTGGAATCGAAATATACCACCCCTAAAAAAATATTTTTTTTTTCACATAATAAATATTTTTTTAATTTTAGTAGTTTTTATGTTTTCAGAATTTTAATTCGTTTTGAGTAGTTTTCTTCTTTTTCAAAAAAAAACAAAACTTATATTCCTCCATATAAAGTGAACAATCTTCTGAACATGAAAAAAAAATGAAGTACTACAAATTGAAAAACCTTGACATCCTAAACGGAGATTTCCAATTTTCATCTTTGGCTGAATTCTGTTTCTTACCTTGTTTCTTACGTACTTCCGTTTTTATATTTTGTCTGAAGTTTATGTTATTATGGAACACGATTCCTGAAAAATATCTGTCAATATTATTCCCAAATTAACCACGTAAGTAAAAGAAAGTAGTTTTTCTAATTCGTTTCTCAATAATATGCCATTCAATTTATTTTTTGTTGAAAAAAACTTACTACGTACTCTAAACTATAATAGGAATAAATTTACAAAAAAAATAGTTCTCGATATTTTTAATATTTTATCAAAATTCCCTATTTTACCGATATTTCTCAAGAACCGATACTTACTGAAATTTACCTAACTGGTTTTACAACAGAACACAGTCTTTAAGTAAGACAAATATTGAATTTTATATATTTTTGTATTTTCAAAGAAATTTTAATCCTGTCATAAGTAATTATGCAAAATATCGGAACTGAAATTTCTGGTCGACAAACTCCTCGTCATCAAATATTTCATCAATTGCTTTTCGAAATGTTTAAATTCGACGGAATCTTGAATTGGCTGATTGGTATTTTTTTGAATTTTAATTTTTGAATTTTAATATACCTAATTAGTATATTAAAATGTAGAGTAATTTTCATATTTCTTCGAAAGAAACAAATATAAGTTATATTCCTGCTTATAAAGTGAACCATTTTCTGAGAAATGAAAAAATACAGTGGCAAAATTGACACCCCAAACGTAGATTTACAATTTTCATTATTGGTTGAATTTCGTTTTTTATCTTGATTATGATTTTCTGTTCCATTTCTATATTTTGTCTGAAGTTTATATTTTTAAGGAACACAGTTCCTGAAAAATATCTATCAATATTATCACCAAATTAACTAGCTAAGTTAAAGAAACAAGGTTTTCTAGTTTGTTTGTCAATTTATTTTTTGTTGAAAAAAAATTGTATTCTAAACTATAATAGGAATATCGAAATTTACAAAAAAAATCTCGATATATTTAATATTTTATCAAAATTCCGTATTTTACCAATATTTCACAGGAACCGATACTTAATGAAATTTATCTAACTGGTTTTCGAACAGAACACAGTCTTTAATTAAGACAAATATTGAATCTCATTATATATTTTTGTATTTTCAAAGAAACGTCAATCCTGTCATAACTAATTATGCAAAATATCGGAACTGAAATTTCTGGTCGACAAACTCCTCGTCATCAAATATTTCGTCAATTGGTTTTCGAAATGTTTAAATTCGACGGAATCTTGAATTGACTGATTGGTATTAGGTAAGATAATTCGATTATTTAAATTTGCGCCAGTATTGGCCGACGATGAGGCAACTATCGACTCATCTCCTCGCGTCCGCTCTTGACATAAACTGTCGCAAGTTTCCTTCATTTTCGTTAGTTGTTTCTGCAAAACTCTATACTCTTCGAGAAATTTTTCAAGTTGAGCTGCATGACAATCGTAAGGATTACCAGGTGAAGCAAACTCAGACTGTGATGGTTTACGCCGCATTCTGGTTTCGAGACTCTTGACGTCGAGGAGCGGAGTCGAAGTGGGATCTATACATCTCTCATCGCGTGACAGATTAAGTAAACTACCTCCCGATGTCCTGTTTCCTCGATGCTTAGTTAAGTTAGAGTCGTGAAACCGTCGGGTCTCGATGGACATCCTCCTGGCAAAACTGTCGGAACTGCTTCCGCTTTCACTCCCATAGCGACTTTCCGGTAGAAGCAACGACTGGCTGTCGCTGCTTCTGTACTTGGGAAGATCCCGTTTTCTGGGAAGTGTGCAAAACAGTTCGTTGATGTCGCTGGCACTGCCTCTTTCGCTTTGGGTCCGGCTGCTGACGTTGCGGAATGGAGAGTGTCCTATAACGTCGGGTACCTGTCTGGAGGTCGTCGCCGTGTAGGTGGCGCTAAGCGATGGCGGACTGAGTCTTACAGATGCTGAAGGGGCCGGTGAAATTTTATATGTACCAAACGTCGAATTGTAGGTTCTCTTGATATTGTCTCTAGAAAAAAGTAGCAATACTAAATATAAATACAGATGGGTAGGAGTTTCCCATTAAAACATTACTATTGCTTTAAAGAAATATACCAGCGCATAATATTTGTAAAATAAAAAAAATAACATACAGCATCTTAAAGGAAAATAATAAAATGTCAGTGCTGAAATTAAAGAACATACCAAATAGTTAAAAAGAAGTTATTTTGAAAGCATATGAATTAAGTAAATATTCGGACAAATATTTATAGTTTAAACCCATTTGCTATAAAAAGCAAAAATATTTTATATTATTTACGCTTAGTATGTAGCTATAATAACTGTCAAGTTTATAGATAAAAAATATTTGTGTGTTTTAGTATTACTGTAGTATTACTGTATACAAAGTAACTTAATACAGCGCTTGATCATTTTACAAATAAAAATTTAAAACAAGCTCTTTCAAGTAATAAAAAAGAAAAAAACTGTATTTTGTATTAACAGAAAACTTGCAATGTGTTTAATGGGAAAAAATCCTACCTTTTCATTTTTTGTAGATACTAAATTTGAGATTGTGTACATAGGTGTAATGTATTTATTAAAAAATATATAGTAGTTTCTGTAAACTCTATCTAGGTAACTAATTTTTCAAATAAAAAATATTTTCAACAAATTAATTTTAATAACTACTTGGAATTTTATAACCACGACCCCAATCTATTAATATAATAATAGTTATAGTAATACTTGAGTTGTTCTTACGTGACATACTTTCCACCTTTACTGTACATTTATATCGAATATATGATATAATTTTTTGTTTTAGTTACATCAATATAACTAAAGTTTTATGAAATTGAAATTCTTGTATATTTCTTCTAAAATAGTTTTTTAGTGTTGACTGAACCGATGACAAACACTAATCTCAGAAATATTTCTGTAATATTATTACACAAGAGTATTTTTTTTGGAATTAGTTATCAGGAATAAAGAGAGCTATTTAATGATTTTAAATTATCACATTATACTTTTAAAATCATTCGAATATCAATTACCTTGATGTCCAGATTATTACATACATATAATAAAGAATTCTTAGCTTAAATACATTAGAACAGTTAAGGTTCCCTACATAATATAATTTAAAACTGAGATATACTTCCTGAAACGTTAAGAACGTTTTGTTGGTTAGGCAAATTTGATTCACCAGTAAAAAACCACTAACAAGCTAGTTTCCGATGTCCGATTGGGTCTACGCAGTGGTGTTTAAAAAAGAAAGTTTTATTTTGTATATTTAAATAAACAGGTTCTTTATTTCTACAAAAAATGCAATACTTAATAATAAGAACAATATGGCAATATCTAGAATACTTTATTCTATTCATAATATGCCAAAGGAAAAGTCGACAGTTGACGACAATGATCTTCGTGCATCTCTTTGTTACAGATTTACATATTTCCCTTCCAGTATCTAGAACAACCTAGACTTTTTCAAGAAAAGAGCCCGGCGCCAAGATGTAGACAATATTTAGAGTATATACTACAAAATAATAAATATCTAATTAAACTAAACTTTACCTAGATTCTCTTGTATTGTCATTGTCAGCCTCTACTGTGCACGCAGCTTTATTTACACGGTTACTATCCGCACCATTGTTCGACCTTTTGTCAGCCGATGTCCCCGGTGTCGTAATTTCTAAGGTGCTTTCCTCTTCTTCGTCTACCTCGTGATCCGTATCGGTTCCAGGAACGACACTGTAATCACCATTTTTCCGAGAAACAGCCACTAAACCCGTACCATCTCTAGCCACTCCACCGTTCACGTTACGCGATGCGCGCTCCTTCATTTCGATCTTTTCGTAATTGTCGTCTCTGCGGCACTCGTTCGAGTGCCAGTTCAAAATCCGTTTTTTCCTCACACTCGCGAAATAAACGGCAACCGCGCAACACAGAAATGTCACGGTCAGACCCAGAAGCACGCTGACAACTAAAGTTTTGTCGGAGATTGTCGATTCCTGAATCTTTTTTCCCATAGTCAACGTCACCATAGCTTCAGATTTACCGGCTTTGTTTTCCGCTGAACACGTATACAAACCGGCGTCGTGCATCTCGGCCGAGTAGATAGTGAGTTCGCTAGAATTATTCCTTAAATTTAATATATACATTTTCTTACCGCTCCATTGAGCTACTCCACTTAAATTAGCTATTACCCTGTTTCGAAATGACCATTTTATGGTTGGATTAGGAACACCGTCTATATTACATGTTAAAGTTACGTTTCTACCTTCGACGCCTTTGGCTTTGTGCTCTGTAGGTACGATTTTAGGCGCGCAAGCGAACTCGTCCAGTTCTAGAACTCTCCACGATCTCTGAAAGATTCGTTTCGGATATTGACAAGTGGGTGGGATGTCATAAGGAACATTCCGACGAATCATCCACTCCCGCAGGTTTAATAATTTACACGAGCAATTCCACGGATTTCCTGCTAGTTCTAATCCGTGCAAATTCCGAAGCCTCTGCAAAACAGAAACGTCTATTTCGGTAAGCCTGTTCGAATCTAGCTTCAGCCACTCTAGTTTATCTGCCTGTTCTAAAAAAGCTCCCTGTTCTATGAAATTAATACGACAGTGTGATAACTCTAGTCGAATCAAGTCATGTGTACTGGAGAAGGCGCTGTTCGCTATTTTCTGGATGGGGTTGCCGTTCAGCTTCAATTCCCTTATTTCTGGAATGGTGTCGAAAGCGTGCGAGGGCACGAAAGAAAGGACGTTGTAACTTAAATCCAGCTCGACGAGATTAATCAAATTTTTAAAAGTAAATCTCTCTATGGTTTTCAATTTGCACTTAGCCAGATAAATCTTCTGCAGATTGAGTAAGCCGGCTTTGCTAAACTCCTCGTTTCTCAACGTTACGATACCGTTGCCCGTCAGGTCCAGGATTTGCGTTCCGCTATCCAGATGTAGCGGAACGACGGTTAGATTTGCGTTCAAGCAGACAACGGATTCTTTGCCGCTCTTCCATTTGCATTCGCAGAGCCGGGGACATTCTGCCAGGATCGGGATTAGCATGCTTACCATGACAGCGCAAGTATAGTACAAGGTGACGTGAGTCATCCTGGGGTATCCACTTGTGTTGTTATCGATGGTGACAATGTAGTAGCTTGTTTTCGTTTTCCTCCTCTTCGGTTTCCATTTTGCGCTCACGGTGTCGATTTATGATCGTATTAACCTAAAAAGAAACAAAATAATAACTTTTTTAATATATCGATATCCAAATACCGTATGATAAAAAAACGGCGTCCAATTGGCTCGAAAGTGACGATCTATGACATTCCTTATATAATTTTACATATAAAATGACAGCGATCTTCATTTCACAACCATCACTGACGCCGTTTTTTATCATATTGTGCTTCATAAGTTAATAAATATTTTATATAATTAGATATAAAGGGTGAATCTTAAATTAGTGCAAATATTATTAGAGATAGTATATTTCAACCCCAGTAACACGATTATGATGTTCTTTTCGCTAAAATTTGGAATTTTTTGAAATATTTTTTGGATTTTTTTTTATTTTTTAGTTAAAAACATATTTTTTGATAATATGACAATATAGGTGATAAATTAAATTTACAAGAAAGAACATCTAGAAAATATCCAGTGGTTCTCAAAATTTTAGCTAAAAATACTTTTATTTTCGAAATTTTTAAAGAAAAGTAACTCGGTTGAATTTATTCAAAAACGGTAAAGAGAAAATTTGTTTTTTATTGAGATATATCAGCTCTAAAAATGTTTGCACTTATTTAAGGCTCACCCTGATATTTTTATAATTTTACGGTTGTTTTTAGTAAAATGAGTAAATAGATAATAATTAAATAACTTGAGATAACCATCGATTTAAAAATAAACATATTTTTTTAAATTCAAATCATTTAGTTTTAATACACTCTGTATACATAAATCATTGTTGATTTTTAAAATATTATTCGCACACTAAGGATAGGGAAATCAAACCATGAACAGAGGATAATAGGAGTGAGATAATATTTCATTCAGTATTCGATGGTATTTTTGGTTTGTAAGTTTTGGTTATTGTGGCATAAAATTAATGAAAGGTACAGTTGTACAAATATAGGAAGAGACTTGGGCATAGCACCGGTCGCCGTGTTATTTTATATTTCTCACGTCTCTAGCTATACTTGTTAAGTTGTAAAGTAAATGTTTCCTCGTTATTTAACTAGTGTCTATATTATATATCTGTTATTGGTATTTTTTGATGAAGCTTTTATTTCATCTGATAATTATAATAATATAATTGAAATTATTCACAGCATAAATTGATTCTATTAAAATACCATACACATATATAAATAATATACATATTCATTCACATTCGATTGTATATTATTGTAAAAATAACGTTTTTTTGTATCATTTCATCTAAATTTGTTATTTATTGTAAGTATAATTTTATGTTCTTGTAGTCATATACATACATTTGAATCATTATTATTAATATTTTCATAAGTTATTTAATTTTAATATTACTATTTATTTTTGTTTATATAGTTTATTTTTGGTTGAAATATGCAGTTATTTTTATTTAAATTTTTTAATGACTTTGTTTCTATACCTTTTTTATATTTTTTAACCTCTACGTAGCATAATTGTCTGGGTGAGTACTGTACTCACTAAAACCGAGGCCCTAAAAGCATTTTTTGATGTGAAATTTCTAAGCGCTGAATCACTAAGCATAATTAGTTTTAGACTTAACAACCACCATCGGAACTGACGTATTTGATGCTTCTTTTGCCCTTTTAATGCAGCTTTCATGTTCTTTGATTAGAATAAAGATAAATAGAAAGAGAGATAGATAAATAAAAAGAAGATTATTCTTACTTTTATTGAGGGTAAATGCCGGCATGCATGTTTGTTTCTCTAAAGTTAGAAACACAGTTTCTCTAAAGTTAAAACCACACATTCCTTTGAAAGACTTTTGTAGCGTACTTTTTAAGATTGTTTTGTATTTCAGTTGGAAGCATTAGTTTCTTTGTTACTATTACTATTGAAGTTAAATCTCAATTCGTCTTAAATAGAGAAACTTCTGCCTATAAAAAATATTTGGGATAATAATATTTAAGTAAATTTTTAAATGTAATACAGAAATTAGGAATTGTTCATAATTCGAAATTGTTTTTTATTCTTAAAAATGTCAATACATGCTCTCTAGATCAAAATCAAATATTTGTTAATTGCCTTTATGGCTCTTCTTAAACCATTTGTCTGATTTTGTTGTCTATTTTCACCTATCTATCGCTCTTCTATCTATAGAGAAACAATTTGGTGTATATTTGATTTTCCATGCACGTAATTATTTAAAAAAAAATATGTTAATATGTGTTATAACGAGTTTATTCATTATTACATACTTTAAGTAAAATAAAATTACGTAATATTTTAATTCAAAACGTTATTAAACGTTAAGATCATATAGAAATTTTTAAAGGGAAGATGAAATTCAGTTTCTGCGAACGCCTCTATATCCCGCTTATCTAAGCCCGCTTAAAATATTTATATTATTTATCCTTTGCGTAGCAGGCTCGTCGGTTTTGGCCTAAATGGTACTTTAATTGACCTACTAAATTATTACCCTATATTTAACTGACCTATTTGATACTTCCTTTGCTCTTTTAATGTAGCTGCGTTGTTTGATTGAGATTGGTAAAACGATAGACCTTTGTTAAAAGGAAACACTGGCATGCATTAAAATTCTACAGTTAAAAGCCGCCATTCCTTCCTAGCCTCATATTCTTACTTTATAAGATTTTGTTGTATTGCAGTTAAAACATTGATTTCTTTGTCACTATTATTACTGATGTAAAATGTCTATTCCTCTTGTCTGTAATAATTTTCTTTGGTTATTATTTGAGGAACAATTTAAATATATGCGAGATATATTATAATATATTTAAATATATGTAATACGGGAATTAACTAATTTTGATAATTCAAAATTATTTTTATAATCTCAATTACTTAATAAGTTGATGCACTAAAAAGGTATTATAAACTCTGTCAATATTCGTCGGTGAAATGTGATAAACTGTTAACTCCATTATTCCTAATTTTACAGGAGAGCAAAAAAACGGTACAAAAAAATATGTACACATGTAGGAAGTATACTAATTTGTTAATATGATAAAGAGATAGGAATTTTAATTGCTGGGGAACAATAAAACTCAATATTTCCTGTTACTTAATTTTTTTCAGACACAATAGGGAGATAGCAGATATTCGTCTTGCAGAAATAAGAAATAAAATTATGTTCCTGGAGATAGCAACCTTTATTTGTTGAAATTTTGAAAATAGAATTGAATATTACCCAAACAGATTTAGAAATATAATCAATTAAATTTAAAAAATGATATTCATAACCATATATTTATAATATCGTCGGTCTAGAAGCAAAACATACAGGTCCAAAAACTAATAAATTTTTAATGCATTTTTAAAGAACTGAAGTAGAAGCATTTTGGACTTAATACATATGAAAATCATTTAAAAATTAAACTTATAATTCTTAGAAGATATGGTAGAATCCTTCCATGCTTATCCAATTTTTTACAACGGTAGTAAACCGAGCTTGGAAAACAGTGCGGTCATTATAGGATGAAAACAGCATGATTCTATTAAATTTTTATTACTTTTCTCTTTATTTTTTAATTTTTATAAAGATTATGTATCATTTACGTTGAAAAACGTTAAAAAAAATAAAACTGATTAGGTATTATGGAAATTCTTGTTTAAGTAAGTAATGCTTATTTAAACTATTTATAGCACGCCGATGAATTGCTCGTATATAGAGAATTTTGTTTTCCCCTTACCCTTTACGGATACCCCGTATTAACAGAACGGATCGACGCAGGGTCGGACTGGCCATATTATTCTCGAAAGCTTTCGATTGTGTTAATCATAACATCCTAACTAACAAATTGCAGTACTATGGTATCAGGGGAACGCCTCTTGAATGGTTTAAGTTCTACCTTAACAACAGAAACCAGCGTGTGAGGGTTGATAAGACTGTGTCTTCTTGCAAGCCAATAGAATGCGGAGTACCTCAGGGCTCAGTGCTAGGTCTTATTTTGTTTCTGTTGTTTATCAACGATATTGCTAGTCTGGACATCAGTGGTAAAATCTGTCTCTTCGCGGATGATACTTGTTTCACATGGAGCAGCCCGGACACCACGGCACTTCATAGAACCATTTCCAGTGACTTAATCAACATAAAAACATGGTGCGATTCTAATTATCTGTGTCTCAACGTCTCTAAAACTAAAGTCTTATCATATAAAAGTACGTTGCTACCTTTTCAACTTGATAATACCACCATTGACGTCGTTGATTCTGTGAAATTTTTAGGCCTTGTTGTGGACAACTTTTTAAAATGGGATTTGCACATCGATGCTTTAGCTAAAAAATTAAGTTCTGCCTGTTTCGCACTTAGATCAGTTGCTAATGTGCTTAATTTGTCAACATCTAGGACAGTCTATTATGCCCTTTATGAGTCGCATCTCCGATACGCACTTCCATTCTGGGGTGCGTGTTGTGCGACTCAATTTGAGCGTATCTTCAAATTACAAAAGAGAGCTGTGCGATATTCACTGAGGCTAACCAGTTGTGCTCACTGCCGGGACTTGTTTAGAAGATATAAAATATTAACTCTTCCTTCCCTATTCATACTCGAATCCGTCTGCCTAGTTCGCAAGCACGTATCGAGTATTTCTCTAGAGCCAGTTCATGGCTATCCAATTAGGAACGCAGAGCATAACATGTATCTGCCAACCCCTCACTCTGAGTTAGTAAAGAGTTCCCAATTGTACAATGCAAAAAAAAATGCACTATCATCTGCCATCTGAAATTAATTCCATTTCATCCTTTCCTGCATTTCGCAGAGCCTTGAGATCATACTTACTGGAGAAAGCCTTTTACGCGGTTAACGATTTTTTTATTAATATCTAGGGTTCTAAATTTAACACACATTCACTAAATTTATGATTTTGTTTTCTATCCATTTAAATTTAGTATTGACATTATATACAGTTGTTTATTTACATGTATGTTTATATTTTATTTATATTTAATTAAATAAATTTTTGACAATGTACAATTTCTATAATTGTATAAAGTATTGTTTTAGTTTTGTATGTTTGCTGTTAGTTTTATATG